AGTCCACTCCATGAATTGCAGCCTATATTTTCCCTGGAAGGACTAATTTTGATCTGATGCACAAGACTCTATGGCTTCAGGCTTTGGCTTACTCCTGTTTTTCCTCCCTTCATCTGGTCAAGCTTGTGTGTTTCGTCATGATCATTATCCTCAAAGTCCTTATCCTTATACTTTTTCTACCTATCTTCTGCTGGTAGGAATATTTAAAAAGCATGATCTCTATGATTCTTTCAGGTCAGGGTGAGTCTTTGTCCACTTATCATAGGGAAGAAGGGCTCCTCTTAGGGTGTTATTTGTTTTTCTCAGAGATTCCCACATACCCAGATTTTTCCGACCAAGCTGAGGGTAATCACTTTTTCAGAATTTTGTCTGGGTTAATAAGATGGCAAAATATAAGGTCACCGACTTTAGTTTCTTTCACAGAAATATTGATTAGCAACTAACTACAGACAAGAATGCCTTTGTGAAAAGTACCAGAACCCAGGCTGGGCGCGGTGGCTCAAGCCTGTAATCCCAGCACTTTGGGAGGCCGAGGCGGGTGGATCATGAGGTCAAGAGATCGAGACCATCCAGGTCAACATGGTGAAACCCCGTCTCTACTAAAAATACAAAAAATTAGCTGGGCATGGTGGAACGTGCCTGTAATTCCAGCTACTCAGAAGACTGAGGCAGGAGAATTGCCTGAACCCAGGAGGCGGAGGTTGTGGTGAGCTGAGATTGCGCCATTGCACTCCAGCCTGGGTAACAAGAGTAAAACTCTGTCTCAAAAAAAAAAAAAATACCAGAACCCAAGAGGAGGTTGTGGGGAGAAGGGTCAGGGAAGGTGAGACTGAACCACTCCCTTGGAGTACAAAAGCTAAGAAAAGTTACATTACAAGGGTTAGATAAGTGGCTTCATTTTGACCATGTTGCCCCTCTCACAGGCTGGCAGAGTGCCACTCCAAGACGGACCCTTGGGGCTTATGGATTCTCCAGTGAGAAAAAAAGAGCCTGAGGTAGTCAGCTTCCCTAGCATTTTAGAGTGCTTCCCAGGAGGCCCACTTATATCTCACTTCAGGGGAACATTGGAGGAATTCACATGGCTAGAACACAAGGGGTGAGCTAAGTATAAAAAAAGGGAGGCAGAGCTTAGAGCTATCAGCAGACAAATCTTGGTGCTGGCACTAGATCCCTGCCAGCAGCCTTGACTAACTAGAGAGAACAGCCACTGGCTCTGTCCACCCACAGAACTAAACCAGTTGCCCCAACTGGCCAACAAGGATGGTCAGAACTCTGCCCAGCTGAGATTGCTGTCAATTGTCTGGCCAGGCCACAGAGCCTAGACTATGACCAAACTGACTAGCAGAGCACAGCCTATAGCCCTGCCTGAAAAAGAAGCCTGGTTAGTGACCCTTCCCATCCATGGAAGAGTTCGTAGCCCTACATAGGCAAGGGACCTAACCAGTTACCTTGCCCAACTTTGAGGCACAGACTATGGCCATGCCCAATTGCAGAGTCCAGCCAGTCACCCTGCTTGACCATAGAGCATAGCTAGTAGACTCACCTGACCAAGGACTCCAGCCAGTAGCCCTGAGTTGATCTCATAACACAGGCACTGGCCATGCCCAACCAGAGACGCTGGCAGCAAGCCAGTCAGTGGGAATGTAAAGCAGTGCAGTCATTATAAAAAAACAGTATAAAGTTTTCTCAAAAAATTAAAAATAGGCCTATCATTCATTTGATTCAGCAATTCTATCTCTGGATATATATCTGAAAGAAATAAAATTAGTCTCTGGAAAAGATATCTGCATCCCCATGTTCATTGTAGCATTATCCACAATGGCCAAGACATGGAATCAACCTAAGCATCCACTGATGGAGGAATGGGCAAAAAAAATTTGTGTGTGTGTGTGGGGTGTGTGTGTGTGTGTGTGTGTGTGTGTGTGTATGTACGTATATATATATGTGTATATATATGTGTGTGTGTATATATATACACATAGCATATATATATACATATATACACACATACAATATGTGTACATACACACACACATATTGCCGTCAGTAGTCTGGCCTATACACACACACACATACACACACACACACACATACACATACACACACATTTACAAAGGAAAACTCTTCAACCGTATTTCCCCACAAAAAAAGGGAAATTCTGTCATTTACAACAATGCAGATGGACCTGGAAGATATACTAAGTGAAATAAGCCAGACAGATTAGAGACTTTAGGCCCATAGTCACCTTGTATTTTCCTAGCGTATAACAGGGAACAGGCAGAATGTACATCCTACTAATTTGTTTATAGCATGTTTGATAGAGTTAATTTCAGCACACAGAACAAACTTTTTGTAGAAAGTGAATTATCAGGGTGTTGTCAGATCTCAGAATAGTTTCCCCAGAGATTTAGGAAGATTAGAAGCACTTCTTCCCATGCTCATTTTTTAGGATGGTTAACTTTTTAATCCCCTGAATTGCAAAGGAAGAATTTTGTGCATTGTATTTGAATCAGAAGGAATACTATATGCTAAATATTAAATACTTATATATGATTCCTCTCCAAAATACATAGAAAAAGCTTTTCCTAAATCACATAATATTTTTTCTCAACATGAGCAATCATGTGTGCATTGACCAAACAAAAAGTTATAGTGCTCATCTGCTGTGTGTCTGGCTTTGAGTAATCACAGGTTAGATAAACCCTGCCCTCAAAGAGCTTAGGTCTAGTGAGAGAAGAAAATAAATACAAATTATGTGAATTTGCAACCTGATTTGATGAATTGGGTTAAAAAAATCATGTAGATACTGTCTCAGTCTGTTTAGTGTTGCTGTAAAGGATTACCTGAGGCTGGTTAATTTACAAAGAAAAGAGGTTAGCTGGGTGTGGTGGCTCACACCTGTAATCCCAACACTTTGGGAGGCCAAGGAAGGAGGATTATTTGAGCCCAGGAGTTTGAGACCAGCCTGGGCAATATAGTGAGACCTCATTTTCACTAAAAAGAAAAATTTATAGGCATGGTATCACATGCCTGTAGTCCTAGCTACTCAGAAGGCTGAGATGTGAGGATAACTTCAGCCCAAGAGTTTGAGGTTGCAGTGAGTTATGAGTAGCCCACTGCACTCCACCTTGGGCCACAGAGAAGAAAAGAGGTTGCTTGGATCATGGTTCTGAAGGCTGTGGAAGAAGCATGGTACCAGCATCTGTTTGTGATGAGGGCTTCAGGCTGCTTCCACTTGTGACAGAAGGCAAAGGCGAGCACGCATGTTTGGAGATCACATGGCAAGAGGAAGCAAGAGGCATGGGGAGGTGCCAGGCTCTTTTTTAACAACCATCATTTGCAGGAACTAATAGAATGAAAACTCACTCCTTATGATGAGGAAGGCACTGAGTCATTCATGAGGGATTTGCCCCCAGTGACCCAAACACCTTCTGATAGGGATTCTTTTCCAGCATTGGGTATCAAAGTTCAACATGAGTTTTGGGAGACAAACATGAAAACTACAGCCAATATATTCTGCAGAACTTGGTGATTATTGATAATGGAGTTGGAAGTTCAGAGAAGTCTTTACATTTATTCCCTACAGATTGGAGGAACAGATTGCTGATTGTTTTTTAAAAGCAAAATGTTTTTGAAATTTTGCCTGAAATGCAAATGGAAATTTTGCATGAAATTTTTGGGCTTCAGAGATATAAAAAAACATAAATATTTGGCAACCTAAGTGTCTAATGTTGTGTGGTTAGAAATTTTTAAATGTCTCCTTAGTATGCACTTAAAGTAAAAGATTCACACTAACTATTCTAATGCAATACTCTCATTAAATTTAACAGCTTTTTCTGCTATTTAGCTACTATTTTTCCCTTCCTCTTTAAAAATGAATGTTACCTGTATGAAATACTAGGAATATATGCTAAGATGTAGCCATAAATGGTATAATCTAGAGTTGTTAAAATGTGTTTTACCTAAATAGTTGTTCCAAGGAAAAAGTTAACTATAATATTTATTGAACTGGGAAAAATTGCTATGCTTACTTTAACCTAATATCTTTTCAAGATTGTATTCCTAATGTCAAGATTTTTGCAATAAAAATTAAAAGTCTGTATTGTTGTTTTTAAAACAAGTGCTTTTCCATTCCACCTTCATTATATTTCTTTTTCCATTCATATAGGCTGCTAATTCCACTTTCTATGAAAAAACAAAGTACTGCTTCATCTTTCTATTGATGGCAGTCTTTGTTCTCTGCGGCTTGCTTGGAACCAGGCTCTGCATTCATGTTTTTAGATGTGTGATCTGGGATATAATGAAATAAGGAAACAGAAACATGCAGAAGCATTACTTTCTCATTACTTGCCTCCTTCTAGCATCACTTGAAGGATGTCAGAGCATGCCTCATTTGTGGGCATCAGCCCTGTATGCTTTCTTTGAGAGAGGAAGGATGGTTATCTGAGGTCAGCCACACGTTACCAAATATTCCAAGTCTACCTACAGTTGGTATGAGGAGAGAGAATTGCGTGGAATGTTACCTACACATTTACCAGGTCCTGTAGGTATTTGCGGAAGTGCAAACCTGCAAAACGCTGCACTGCACAGATTTCTTTTGTAACTGCCCAAGAAGTTCTTCCTGCCTTCTGCACAAAGACCATGGCATTGAAGTAAAAAAAGAGTTTAATAGACATGAGGCCAGCCATGTCACATGAGAGATGGAGTTAGTACTCAAAACAGTCTCATCCAAAGCTTGTAGATTAGGGGTTTTACAAAGGCAGTTTGGGGTAATGGGTGAGAGTGGCTAGGCTTGCTGTTGTTTGGTTGTGGCAGAGATAAAATCATTGTGGTTCTGTGAAGCTGTCCTGTGCACTGAGTTGCTTCTGGGTGGAGCCACAGGAATGAGGTTGGCATGTCCAAGTGGAAGCATCCAGGTAGAACCATGGATGTCAGACATGCAAAAAAAAAAAAAAAAAAAAAAAAAATCCCTGAAAAGGTATCTCAAAAGGCCTATCTGTGTGCTTACTTCGACAGCATATATACTAAAATTGGGACGATACAGAGAAGCATGGCCCCTTAGCAAGGATGACACACAGATTTGTGAAGCATTCCATATTTTTAAATAAAATATTTATAAAATACATTAAAAACAAGGGGGCCAATGTGTAACAGTGCTGTTATCTGCAGGAATGGCTGGCAAACTATGTCCATACCTTCACGGAATTCAGATTCCTCTCCTCCCCGAGCCTGATGGCCTTGCATTATCTTTACAAAGGTAGACGAGTTTGGGGGAAAGCCTGTTATCATTTAAACTATAAACTAAACGTCTCCCAAAGTCAGTGTACTAGTCTGTTTTCACACTGCTGTAAGGAAATACCTGAGGCTGGGTAATTTATAAAAGAAAGAGGCTTAATTGACTCATAATTCCTCCTGGCTGGGGAGGCCTCAGGAAACTTAAAATCATGGCAGAATGTGAAGGAGAAGCAAAGACACGTCTTACACAGTAGCAGGTGACAGAGAACTGCACAAAGTGGAAAGAGTCCCTCACGTATCAAACAACTAGATTTTGTGAGAACTCTCTCACCATTGTGAGAACCACATTGGGGAAACTGCTCCCATCATCCAGTCACCTCCCACCAGCTTTCACCTTCAATACCCTGGGGTTTACGGGGATTACAATTCAAGATGAGAGAGTTAAGTGGGGACCCAGAGCCAAACCATATCAGTCAGTTTAGCCTAAGCCCAGGAATAATTAAGGGAAAGGCAAGATAGGGGGTGGATTAAATCATACCTGTTTTACTGCCATAATTTTTTCACTGATCTAATTTTTACAAAAGCAGTTTCACTTTCAACCCAATACATAGGCATCAGAAAAAATGTGCAGGTACAAAAATCTCAGACTTCTGTTCTCCAGCCTAGGAATCTGCCTCTGACATTGGCACCAATTCAATTAGTTTGTTTTTAAATTTATTAAGTAATTATTATGTGCCAAGGATGTGTCCAGGCACTATATTAGTTGTAGGGGATAAAATTGTAAGTAAAACCAGATGTGGTTTCTGTTGTCACATAGCTTATAGTCTAGAAGATATCTTTAATAATATACACAATTACATGTACACTTACAGCCTGAGTGAACACAGTGTTATGAGAGTGGGGAACAAAAGAACCCGGCCTGGTTGCTGGAGTGGTCAGGACTCCCCAGAGGAGCCATGTTTATGCTAAATTAATTTGGGAAAGGGAGATTCTAGAGTAGGAGGCAGGATGTTCTTGGGAGATGGGAGAGCATGTGCAAAGGCACTGTGCTCTGCAGGATGATGTAAGGAACTGAAAGAAGTCAGTATGGCTTGGAGTGCAGGATCAGGCAAGGTGTGGTGTGATGTGGTCCCAGAGAGGCAGACACATCAGGGTCTTGTAGAATTAAGGGTTTACTGAAAGAGGAGTTGGAGGCCACTGAAGCAAGGGCCTAGCATGGAGAAAAGAAGTTAGGGTGAGATGACATAACAAAAGTCCCTAGATTCTTTGTAGGCTTAGCATCCATAAATATCCCAACCAATTTCTCTTCTATTATCATCCATACATAGTCAAACCTATATTTACTTTTGAATAAAGGATGACAATTTTGTGTGTATATAAAAATAGATTCACAAATAGAAGATTAAAAAAGTTAATATTACTGAAAAAAGAAAAATGTAGTATATCTCTAATGAAAACTTCTACTATACTGTTTCTCTTGCTTGATCTAAAAACTTACTCTTTCTGAGAAAGAAATTACATTCTTGTAGCACTTATCCTATAAAATGCTAACTTGTTTTTTTCATCAAACTACTTTTGATTCTCAAGGAGTGCCCCTATCTCTTTCATGTTTAGATAATCCAAATCCTTAGTAATTTTTTAAATATTATGTTGATATAGTTTGGCTGTGCCCCCACCCAAATCTCACCTTAAATTGTATCTCCCACAATTCCCATGTGTTGTGGGAGGGACCCAGTGGGATGTCATTGAATCATGGAGGTGGGTCTTTCCCTTGCTGTTCTCATGATAGGAATAAGTCTCACGAGATCTGATGGTTTCTCTGCACAAGTTCTCTTCTTTTGTCTGCTGCCATGTGAGATGTGCCTTCACCTTCTGTCATGATTATGAGGCCTCCTCAGCCATGTGGAACTGTAAGTCCATTAAACCTCTTTTTCCTTATAAATTACCCAGTTTCAGGTATGTCCTTATTAGCAGTGTGAAAGTGGACTAATACACCTGTCTAGACCAGAGAACACTACTCTGCAAGTCCATTCATCCATTCTTATCCAGGCCATCAGAGAAATGGAATTCTATAGTCAAATATTTACTCTTGTCTGTTTTGGGTCTTATCATAATTTACCTTTACTGCCTTCAGATCCAGGTAGAAAGGCAGGTAAACTGTCTGGAAGTGCTCTACATATGGGGAGATATATCTGTTAGAAGTTGATGGCAAGCAACAGACCAATACAACTGTATTAATGTGAAACATTGGCTGACCAGATTTCAGAAGGAACAAAAACCAGGGCCATCTCAGGATCTTGGGTAGCAGTCTTCTCAGTGTGCCCTGGAGACATTTTGCTTCATGTATTTGAGAGATTAATGCCCCATCTTAATATTCTAAATATAATTTAAAAGACCAAATGAAAAAATCCAAATACAAAATTTTGCACACAGAAAAGAACTTACTGCTCCTGTTTTAGAAGGTGTCTGGCAACATGTATTAATAGCTATGAAAATTATTATGCCCTTTAACCCAGTAACCTTTACATTTTAAGTTCAGTGGTATATGTGCAGGTTATATAAATAAACTTGTGTCATGGGGGTTTGTTGTACAGATTATTTTGTCACCCAGGTATTAAGCCCAGTACCCATTAGTTAGTTTTCCCAATCCTCTCTCTCCTCCCATCCTCTATTCTCCAATAAGCCTCAGTGTGTGTTATTTCTTTCTATGTGTCCATGTGTTCTCATTTAGCTCTCACTTATAAGTGAGAACATGTGGTGTTTGGTTTTCTGTTTCTGCATTTGTTTGCTGAGGATCATGGCCTCCAGTTCATCCATGTCCCTGCCAAAGACATGATCTCATTCTTTTTATGGCTGCATAGTATTCCATGGTGTATATGTGCCACATTTTCTTTATCCAGTCTACCACTGAGGGGCATTTAGGTTGATTCTATGTCTTTGCTACTGTGAAGAGTGCTGCAATGAACGTATGCATGCATGTGTCTTTATTACAAAATGTTTTATATTCTTTTGGGTCTATGCCCAGTAATGGGATTGCTGGGTTGAATGGTAATTTCGCTTTTGGGTCTTTGAGGAATCACCACAGTGCCTTCCACAATGGTTGAACTAATTTGCACTCTCACCGACAGTGTGTAAGCATTCCCTTTTCTCCACAACCTCGCTAGTATCTATGACTTTTTAATACCAGCTATTTTCACAGGTGTAAGATGGTATCTGATTGTGGTTTTGATTTGCATTTTTCTAATGATCAATGACACTGAGATTTTTTTCATATGATTGTTGGCTGCATGTATGTCTTCTTTTGAAAAGTATCTGTTGATGTCCTTTGTCTATTTTTTTAATGACGTTGTTTCTTGTAAACTTGTTTAAGTTTCTTATAGATGCTAGATATTAGCAAATCTTTGTCAAATTTTTACATAGTTTGCAAAAATTTACTCCCAATCTGTAGGTTGTCTGTCCACTCTGTTGATAGTTTCCTTGCTGTACAGAAGCTCTTTTGTTTAATTAGATCCCATTTGTCAATTTTTGCTTTTGTTGTGATTACTTTTGGTGTATTTGTCATGAAGTCTTTGCCCATTCCTATGTCCTGAATGGTGTTGCCTAGGTTGTCTTCCAAGGTTTTTATAATTTTTTTAACCTAGTAATCTTAATCCTACAGCAATGAAAAAGTTTATTTGTTAAGTTTACATTTTTTGGTAAAATTTCAAAATACATCAAACCTTGAGTTTCACTTTGAGAATACCTTCATAAATTATGGTTCTGTGAATTTTAAACTTTAATTAGTATTTCAATATATTTATCTGATGGCTTTATGACCATAGGACTTAAAACTCTTCATCAAATTTGTGAGTTAGAGTTGCAGTAATCCCTCCCAACTGATTTAGGCAGAGAACCTTAATACAGGGAGTGGTGTAGAACCTCTCTCTGAAGCTTGAGCTCACAAATATTCCTTTGCCTAAGCTGAGAGTGCTTTTGACTTGGAATCTAAATCAGACTTAGTGGCAAGTCTTATGAAGTGAAAGGTCACCTATTTAATGAAATTATTTTAATTAAATGATAATGATTTTGTGTTATATAAAAAGAAAGTAAGGAAGTTTCAAAATGGAATACTAAATAGTTATTCTAATAAGAAAACCAGACTTATGAACATAGCAAATTTATTACTTTCTTGAATAAAAATTTATTTTGTGCTATTTACCTCTGTTTTAATTTTTAAAATGGAGCACATTTCTCATATTTATATTAATTTTTAAATTACAATAGGTATTGCTGGGTCATCTCACTTAGAATGTAAAAATAGAATATGAATACTGAAGCTACATTGCTATTAGAACTGGAGATATACTATGTGCATTGATAATTAAAACTCATTTTCAATATTTATTATTTTAAAAACAAATTTTCAAGCCAGACATACTATTAATTCAAAGTCAAAACTAACAAAGTCAGTCCTCCAAGATTAGCCATTTGTTCACAAAACTGAAACTGCTTCTCAATTCTGTAGCTAGAGTATGGATGTTCATTACTGAGTTTATGGATTACTGTGGTTAAACAATGGGAATCATCTTTGTGAAGATTTACACTAAAGCTAAATTAAAGATTGAGGAACAAGCAAGTTTAATGTACATATAAACAAATATGCTTATTATAATGTATATTTTGGTGAGCTGTTACTGGTTGCTTCAATTTTTTCAATGTTTATATACCAAGTGCCTCCATTTCTTCTTCACTTCCATTTTATATAAAAACTTTAAATCAGTCTTTTAGTTAAATTAGTCTATTGAAAATTTTCAGAGAAATCTAATGATTTTCTAATTGCCAGTGCCAATAATTTTGAAAAATATATTTAAATCAAAGTTTAATATAC